CCCCCAAAACCCCAAAACCCCATATTGTACAATTACAAAATAAATTTGGGTAAAACATAAGTTATTAATAAAGATCTTTATAATTTACTAGGCGTGCTAGCACTTAAGTGCATTGATACGCACAAATATTTTATTTTTCACACATCACTATCACTAAAGTCATCATCATCTTCATCTTCGATGTCATCCATAGGTTCTATATCCTCATTTAATTCCTTTTTGTTGTTAACTTTCTGGTTGCTTAACTGCTGTTATGCAGCATTCATCCTCCCAGCTGCAGGTTGAAGCTACTTGATTGGGGACTAAGAAGTGTCAATATCTTGGGCCTTGTTCTTGTATGATTAATCATCCTATTTTCTTCTTTGAGATTCAGGCTCAATAGTGATATCTGCCTCTTATTAGTCCATCTCCAGTTAAATGTCATCTAATTTATTCTAGTTTGTATCTTCAGTGCCCTTAGAATTTACATCTCTTTCAGTATTCTTAATTGAGTTATACTATTGTACTTACTAGGCTTCCATTTTTTTCTGAATTCTATTCTCATCGAATTCTTTGGCGTTCTTTCTCTTTGGAGCTTGACCCTATTTTTCCTTCTTTTCATCTCTTTTCTTTTTAGTAACTTCTTGCAGCTTTCTATTTTACCACCATTTGTAGAAAAAATATCCTCCAATTGCTAAGCCAATTAATAATACTATCACAATCACTATGGCAACTATTCCTCCTATCCCTATACCGCTTGAAGAGTCGCCACCTGATGTTGAATTATTATTATTGTTGGTATTTCCTCCACCCCCATTGTTATTATTATTATTTCCATTACCTCCATTGTTTGTTCCTCCTCCATTAACAATTGAATTATAATCTGGTAATGTCTTTGGATCAAAATTTTTGCAAAAGTTAACATTTAAAGATTGATAGTAGGAATTAGTCTTTTATCGCTGAGTTGCATACCAAAGGTCTGAGCATTAGACACAAGAAGTATTTTGAGAAAATAGTGTAAAAGTGGAGCAAGCAGTGCAAGTTCTGCTGCTTGCTGTATAATAGCTTTGATAAGAGCAAGTCTATAAACCAAACAGCTATTTCTATGCTTTATATTTTGATATAACTTGTCCATTGTAAATACCGAAATCAATATCTAGATGAGGTGTTCCTTGCATGCCTGATGTTACTTTTGTGTTCAGTTCATATCCATAGGTTTTAGTGTCTTAATTATATAGGATTTTTAATTCGTTCAAGAAATACTGTCTGCTATTTACAGCTCCTCCAGAATTACTTTAAGAAAAGAATGTTTGGAATTAACTTCCTGTGTCTATTGCAGTTAGGTCTTTTCCCAATTAGGGATTGTCACTTGTGCCTGGAACACTTAAAATCTAAGCTAATGTATTTGAATCATATAATGTAATTAGCCCTGCATAGTTGTTGCATAATTCACACCCATATCCCATGAAATTTTTGCTTACAACAATCGTTGAAACTGTCGCGGTTTTCACATTAGTTTCGCCAATCTTCCAAAAAGTGACATCACTTAAGCTTCCACTTACTGAAGTAGAAACCAATGAGTACTTTGTAATCAAGTTATCCTTTGTGTTATAATTTGGAGAAACATAAAGATGAATCAATTATGTGGAAGCATCTGATAAGAAATATTGAAGCACAATAGTACCATAACCTGAAAATGTAAGGGAGCCTGTTTTAACTCTAGTAACTTACTAGCCTAGGGTTTTAGGTCGAGCATATACTTAAAAGTTATAGTTGTTACCCATTTAAAAAACTGTATAAGTATCAGTAACCAATACATCAATAATAGTGTCTCCAGATATCCAACTACTATCAATAAAGAATAACTTTGTGATAAGAATGCTCCCAGTTGAGTCTAAACTTGCTCGGTAAACTGAATACTCGTTTAGATATGTGACTGATCCTTAGAATTGTGACTCAAAACTTAGCTTTGGACATGAAAATGGGGTTATTGCTGTTGACTAAGTTTGCATACTATTAGAAGCCTAAGTGGAATCAGCAATTAAATCTTGTGTTTTGAAAAAATAGGTTGCATCAGAACATATCACCACTAATAGTTATTTTAATTAGAAAATTAAATTACCAGTGACATTTGCAACGGTTAATTAGCAAGATTAAGTATTTGAAGTAGGTAAGCTCATCAAAGATTTGAATGCTAGCTTTTGGGATTAGCACATTGCTATGAATAGAGATATCAAGAGATATGAACAGCAGGCATACTTAAAATCGTAAATTTTACTATCTTTGATAAACCTCATTTTTAGTTATTAATTCAAAAATTAGAGTCGATTATAATAGCTCACTCCTTAATGGATAATCCGTTTTAATTTAATGACTTTTGAATGATCAAATTATTTTCACTCAACCTATATATGGGGTTTTGGGGTTTTGGGGAGATCGGAAGAGCACACG